TACGCTTCTTGGAGAGAGGACCCATTTGGCACTTTGTGATTTCTCTAAGCGTCCAACTATGCAGGTGGAAAAGGAAAGGTAAATATGACGATGAATAGAAGGAGAGCGAATAAGATGAATAACATTAAGAAGAGTAAGCCCTTTCACCGCTACAATATCACAACTCATAGCGTTTCGATACGATCGATGCTGAGATTGTGAGAATACTACAAGGTCCATTAGCGACTTGATTTCATTTTTTTTTAAATACTTTGCCGTGCAACTTAGGATGCAGATATTAGTAAAGCTGAAAAACAAGATCGGTCATTTGAATACATATATGCGCATATATATGTATATATATACTATTCAAACGATACCAGACTAATGTATTTCATTGTGGACACGTCACGCACATGAATCTTAAACGAGCTTTTATTCAGGAAAAGTGAGAATTACTCGATCCAGCATAGCGTATCCCGCTGAGGTCCTTGGATGCCTTTCCTCCACTTTGAATCCTAAACGAACTAAGGCGTCCAACTTTCTGTCAACTTCCTCCTGCATGAGCATGACTTCGTCCTGGGTGAAAGTTTCAGAAGGGGTCGCTAGGCCTGTAATGCAACGATTCATGGTCATGAGCTTCGCATTGGTGCGCAGAAGCTGCTGCTCCTCTGGGGTAGTTGCAGTGAGAGTTGGTTCTGGGCGTACTTCGACGTCGCAAATTCCCTGCTTTTCGACCTCTTTGAGGACTTCTGGGTGAGCGAACTCGTGAAACACAGCCAACAGCATGTCCACTTCGGTAAGGGCTTTAACCTTTGACTGTTATTATTGTAGATCAAATTAATCCTATTTTATTAGGATAGAAATATCCGAATGCAAAATTGAAGCAAATGCAGAAAAGGATTAAGCTGAAAGAAAAGAAAAAAATAAAAGAACATGTCCTAACAAGTACAGGAAATTTAGAACTATGCCACTCCCATTTTTTTATTGTTTCCTTTCTCCATGTATTTTTTATTAGTGGTGGAAAGATCACAATAAAGAGAGAAAAGCGTTTTTCTGAAAACGAAAGCGTAAAATATTAAGACAAAAAACAACAAATAAATACAATAAAGAGCATTAAGAAGATGTAATATATAAGATAAAATGCATAACGCATCGAAACACCCCCCAAAAATACTAACAGTGTTGATTAGGGAACAGATATAAAGCTGAATTCACGAATCAAATATTGAAGGGCCTTTCTTATCCCCCTTAAAATTATTACCGAAGCTACCCCAGGCTATGAATATGAAGAATATAATGAATCCCAGGCGCACTGACTAAATTGAACAAGAAGACTACCACAGTCATTTGATGAATGCTCTTAGCACAGATGGACGTATTATTTTTGCTCTACTGTAGGAATAGGCTCGGGAAGTTGATCCTTTGATATTATAGTGAACTTTTGTGTCTCATTCGTTTATTAAAATCTATACTGTCTGATATACAAATGCGTGCCGATACATACAGAACTCAATCTATATCTAAGAGTGTGCTTTCTCTTTGTGGGAATTTATTTTCTCTCGTCAGGTTTTGATTTTGCGATTGAAGGCCCTCATTAACTCCTTGGCGGGCGCTCCTTTCATATTCGACATTACTCAACCCATCGTTGTTTGACTTTGATTCCTGCATAGAGCTTCCATTATAATGAACGTTCTTCGACGCTGTCTGGTTGCTTGTTTGATGTGCATGAACATCCTCACTGTTTCGCGTTTCTGTAGGGGCTGATGCGTGTGCTGAAGCTTCCCTAGTTGTGGTGGCATTAAATTCAGCCTTCCTCATTTGGGACATACTGCAGCAGACCATGATTAAAATGATCAGCAAAAATAATACAAACAGAGCGAATAAGATATGGAGTGGGACGAGGGCACTCCAGAGCGAGAGGGTGCCCTTGTAGGTCCCCCTCTGGGCGTAGAAATTAAGACGCACACACACCATAGCCACCGTCGACAAGATGAGCCCGACGAATATAAAACTCGCGATGAGGAACCCAACAAACGGATTGGTGTGGCGGTGGGTGGATTGCCTAGACTCCGTATCCTCATCCGCGGGCCGCGTACCCCTGTCTCTGGCCCCTCGAGAGGGGCGCTCGCTTTCTGGGAATGGGGTAAAATGGGTTGAATGGGCACCGCCGTTTCGTCTCTCGGATGTTCCATGGAATTGTTGAAATTGATTCTGTGTGGTATCCGGCCCATTCTTCCGCTGACACGACTGAGGTGTGTTAGCTTCACGAGTACTGTGAGTCTGAGAGGTGTGGTTTTGTTCACGATCGCCGTAAAGAGTACTAGATAGCAGACCTTTAAGTAAGCATTCCATAACAATAAGGAATCCGAAGACAAAGAACGGAGTCCCGACGACAATAAAGTAGTCTGTTTTAATAACCTCGTCCGCACGGCATCCGACCAGAACAAAAAAAGCGCCCATGGAGAGCACCTCCAAAGAGCGAATCATGGCGCGAAACGACAAGCAAGCAGCAAGTTTGCACATCCCCATTCTCCGAAGCATATGCACACGCTTCAAATTCCATAAAGGCCCAAACACGATGGCTAAAAAAAAACAAAATGTCATTAGATATCCTGGAATTAGCCAAACACGCCACTTTAAGCATCCATCCATCTCAAAATTATGATTCACGTGATTGCAATGCACATTTTTTTCGTTGCGATCCTTCACAATGGGAATGAAGATCGCGAGCAGGAATAGACAAATGATGGCTATCATGAAAAAAACAATGTCTAACCACCACAAGCAAACTGCTATAATAAGCATTATAAGCGCTTTTATCGCCACCAGTCCAGTTACTATGAACAAGGGCGAAAAAACTTTTACGTAGTTCCACGAAGAAGATAGACGTCCATCAACATAATCTCCGAGGAACTTAAGAAAGACTATAATCAAGATAAAAAGTACGAGCATGATTGCCAAAAATATAGATCCAAACAAGACACCTACTTTTATAAAAGTCGAGGGAATCATGGTGGGATCATCTAAAGCTTTTAGACCCTCCTCACCAAAATTATCGTAAATCGAGCGTCTCTGCGGATCGGATAGAACGTCATACGCTTTTTTGACTTCTAAAAATCGCTGAGAGCCCTGAGGGCCCACCTTATCCGGATGAAGCGTCAGGGCTAACAATCGGTAGTTGCGCTTGATGTCTTCCTGAGATGCATCACGGTCAACCCCTAAGGTTGTGTAGTAGTCGGACATACCTATAGTTATCTTTCACTTTGTTAATGCAAACAAAGTGTATGTAGTATTGTTTGACCAGTGATAATACTAAATTACAGGTGGCCTTCAAAACGAGAGATAAAGGAAGTTCGAAAGAAGTCAAAAACAAACAAACATTGAATTCATATTGGATTTCTACCAAGCCGCATTATCAATTCAAAAAAGCGTGATATCAACTTGGATGATCACTTTAGCAAGTAGGAAAATGAAGTACAGCCACAAACGTGTTTCTTTTTTAAATTCATGCAAAAGGATGGCCGAAAAATACCCCTGTTAATTTACCCGTCATTTTTTACAGAGATGCGATATATATATATATATATATATATATATGCATTAGACGCCAACTCCGTCCCTA